TCACCTGCATTGCTGTGGGTCTGGAGTTACATGTAGGCCTGACCAGGTAAGGATGGCAGTTTCCTCCCTTAAACCCGTCAGGTTCACTGACAGCTCTTTCTGACAATCAACAATGGTTTCATGGCCATCATTAGATTATTAATTCCAGATCCTTTATTGAATTTAAATTCCACCATCTGCTGTGGCAGGATTTGTACCTGGCTCCACAGAACATAACTGGAAACATGTTGTTAGTAATGAAAATTTAGTGATCTATTTCTTGAGCTACATTTGAATTTTTTTTTAACTACACCTGGAGAGATCTACAGAATTTACATCTATCTGTAAGCTTTTTCTGAATTTTATAAACTGGTACACTTAATTTTATTCTTAAACACCTTTTGTCAGTGAGGATTGTTGTGGTTGTAGCATGCAGTTTAGTGACAATTTGTCTTTTTTAATAACACGTCTTTTTTTTTTTGTTTGTTTGTTTCTTCTGTTTCCTTATTTTTCTTGTTTAACATAACCTTGTGCTGGTTACATATGTAGAAACCAGAACAGAAATACTGGCAATGTTTGAAGTCTTGATTTATTTCATCTTACTCAATCCCCGGGATAACAGTATAACTGTTCAACTCCTACTAATCAATATTCAGGTAACATATTCACCATTCCATAATACTTTTACATTTTAGCATGACAAATCTGATGCATAGATTCAAAGTATTAAAATTTCTCAGTTTTTAGTTTCACAAAACCCCACCAAATCCCACCCCTATAGAAATACCACCATTTGGTAGTCCAGCTGACAACATCGTTCACTTGTGCTCGACCTTTGCTGTCATGGCTTGGTTAGTCCATTTAAATAAGGAGCTACTTCATTTCATTGTTTACCTCTGGCAAATTAAAAAAAAAATTCTGTGACTTTAATTTAAGAAATGGAAAACTGGCAGATTAGTAGGTACATTTAAATTAATGCAGATGACACACACAATCCAGTTTCAGACTTAAAACCGAGTTTAATTTTTAACTGTTTTTAAAAAAAAAAATTAAATTTCCAATACAAGATGTGTGAAGTCCCGGATTTCAAGAAATAGATGCTGTACAGGAAGGTGTGTCTTGTGGAGTATACCGAACTTCTTGGGCTTTTTTAAAAATAAGATCTTTACCCTGATCATTTCGCATAATGTTAAAGGGCTTGAAATGCTGAGTTATAGTGGTTGCACATTAGCCCCTGATTCCAAAGCAGTCTGATGTGCATGTGTGTATTGACTTGTGTCGATGAACACTGGCAAGTACGGTACCACACACTGGTGCACAAGCAGAATTCAATGGCCTATTTAAAAATAATGTTTAATGTTAGATTAGAGCTGACAGGACAGTAGGATTTTTGATGATGCTAGACAACTTGCAAAATTTAGGGTAGGACATGGAGCAATGCTAATGTTTTGGACTTGCAATCCAGAGCTCCAGGCTAATGTTCTGGGGACAGATGACAGATGATGGATTTTGAATTCAATAAAAATCTGGAATAAAAAGCAAGCCTAATCTTGACCATATAACCATTTACCGTTAAATCCATTTAGTTCACAGGTATACTTTTTGAAAAAGAAATCTGTTGTCCTTACCTGGTCTGGCCTGCATGTGACTCCAGATCCACAGCAATGTGGTTGACCCTTGCCTGTCCTCTGAGCAGTTAGACATGGGCAGTGAATGCTGGTTGAGCCAGTGACTCCACATCCCATGAATGAATTAAAAAAAAATTTGACTTCTAAAATCTGTTTGGCATCTGGGAAAGTTTTTCTTCACTCCTAAGGTGGTTATTCTGCAGTGTTCCTTTGGAAAGGAAGATAGTTGAGAACAAAAAACAGAAATTGCTGGAGAAACCCAGCAGGTCTGGCAACATTTATGGAGAGAAAGCAGAGCTAACATTTTGGGTCCAGTGGCTCTTCTTCAGAACAATTGAAACACTTGCAAACAGTTTTGATTAGATGCTTTTAGTATAATCATGATTAAAAATAAATTATAGTTGGTGCAAAGGGTGATTTGAGTTGCAAAAGTTTTTGTTTCAGTCTTGGTAGGATACAGGCAAAGCAATGTCTAGTGGACAAGATTAACACAAATGTTCATTTGATTGGTCATTTGGAGCTTTGGTGAAGAATCAAAATAGGCATATTTGCTTGGTCAAAGTAAGGAGTATATTGGTGTGGCTTTTACTGTTGGATAATGAAAAAATTTTAATAGAAAATTTCCAAAAAGATCAGTTTGTTTTTAAAAACCAAGCCTGGTACTCAATTGCTTCATGTAATGAAGAAATACCTGGACACTTTGCAGGGTGATTACATTGTGATGTGAATGTCCTTTTGTATGATCATCTTTGTTAGAAACATGTCCGTGACCAGCATTGTTATAACTTGTATCTGAACTATTTCTGCTAATTGCCCCAAATTTAAACATTTGTTACAGTCAGTTCTAATTCATTCTGTGCTCCACTCAGTTTTAAATTAATATTTGCAGCTAACATTGCTCTTTCATTTTTGTTTTCTTCCAGTAAATCTTTGTCGTTTTAGCTGGAATGGCTTTGTCTGACCATGTGATTCTATTTTCTCATGTGGAAGAAATTAAATATGTACAGCAAACAGATCCTTACACTTTCTGTCCATAAAATATACACTCTAATACTAGGCTAATGTGGAGGTATATTATCTGAATGCTTTAACTTTAACTGCAACTTAGGGGAATTCAAATTTGCCTGCGCAAACATCAGTTTGTGGTGAGTACAAATCAAGAACTTGTACTTATATGGTGCCTTTCACAACCTCAGGATGTCCCAAACACACTACAGCTAATAAGATACTTTTAAAGTGTAGTCAATTCTGAAGCAGGTTGGGCAGAGGCTTTCAGTTTTAACAGTGCAAGTACAATCAAAGAAAATGAGTGAGTTAATATTTCACATCCTCTTGAGTTTGATTTTGAAATATATTACTGTTTTTCCAGTATGCACTGTGGCAGATGTATTTTTGGAAATACCAACAGGACTGTCAAGCATGACATTGGTTGCAAATTTCCTCTTGCACCATAGCTCTGCTGCCACATTAAGGATGGCAGAGACTAGGATTGCTGACTCTGGATTTTTGCAGGTTTCATCAGGTGGCATTTGAACATTTTGAGGGAAAAAAATGACTGCAATTACCTTTGACTGTTTCAGTATAAGCAAGGGCGGAATATGGAATGCAAAAACCGTTAAGTTGAAGCGGAACAATTTTTTGATTCAAAACAAGAAGACAAGTGTGTAGAAAGAGGTAAGAAGTAATACTTAAATTCAAAAAGTATCCACAAAAACATCATGGATGTAAATAATTTCAAATTAGCATTTTCGTATGATGTCCTCAATACAGTGTATATTCTAAACAGTAATAAACCCAAAAATAATCATTGAATTCACTGACTTCTAACATGTCCTATTTGCATAAACAGCTTCAGGGAGTTGAGGCTTAGCCTGCATAACATTGCCAAAGCTGTTTGACTTCAATAACAAAATGCATTAGCCTAGATTTTTCTTTAGGCATATTGGTGAGGCTAACGATGCTCCGCTGTTACTGGTAAATAAGTTAACAGCTGCTTCCAGGCTACATGTAGGCACAATTTACATACTGGAGATGAGATTGAAGTATCCCACTCCTCTGAAGCTACATGATGGCAACCTCAACAGTAGACTTTTTTTCATGAACTAAGGATGTGAAGCTGTAGAATATCCCAACGAAACACATCAGGAAAATAAACCTCCACTTCATCTGATGAAGCAGAGCGCTCCAAAAGCTTGTGTTTTCAAATAAACCTTTTGGACTATAACCTGGTCAGAGATAGCAAGAACTGCAGATGCTGGAGGAACATAGCAGTCCAGGCAGTATCAGAGGAGTAGGAAAGTTGACGCTTTTGGATCAGAACCCTTCTATAGCCTGATGTTGTGTGACTCCTGACTTTGTCCACCCCAGTCTGATACTGATACCAGCACCTCCACATTATAGTGATATAGTTAATGTCCAGCAATTTTTAGCCCTTAATCTTTAATTTTTTACAAGTATAGAATCTTGCTTCTTCAGAATTATGTTGTATTAGAAATTAATGAAAAAGGTTTATTTCTGACTCTTGCCCCTGAATTCCCATCTTTGTTTCCCTCCTACACTTCCTGTGAATGATCTAAATTTAAGTCTTGCTTCTTGGTTTATTGTTCCTGCTTTAGACTCTATGTATCTTTGTAAGGATGCTTTAACTTGGTAGAAAGCCACATTGTTTCTTCTGTTGCTCATGCATGCCACAAATCCTTGGTAGAGGCTGCCTTGCTAAATAACAATGCCTTGCTGCCCATGCCTGTGAAAACTAAGTGGGAGGTGGCCATTGTTGCAAACAGCAAACATACTTTGGAGCTGAGATCTAGCAGTCTGTTACCATACAACAGATCAGCATTAGCTGGCCTTCTTACCCCTCCTGCCCCGCCCCCAACCTTTAGACACTGGAGAGCAGGGACACATTGTTGACTTTCCCTCTTCCTGCAGTGTAACTACTGATCTCAATCCTGAGCCCCTCTGGTGGGTTAGTTGACAAAGTAGTGTTACAATTTTCAGAATTAAAAGCTTGCAGTGTTTCATCCCATTTATTTAGCCAAGTCTTTCTGCATGCATGAGAATCTGCCTAAAATTACATGGGCAGTTTATTGGGATATTCCTTTGGGATGCTAAAGGTGCTATATAGATGCAAGCTGGTAATAACACGGATATACTAAATCAAGTGAAATTATGGTTAAAGGATAGGTTCTATACCCCAATACTGAGATTCAAGATAAACTGGAGCTTTAGTGCATGACCGAGAGCTGGGTTAAGGAGATTTCCTTAGTCCATTCACTGCAGCAGTCATTAATAATGTTCATGGAGTCAGCGACAGTCACTGTTTTTACACCAGCAGCTTATCCTCTTCGCCACAAGTTACTATTCCCTGAGGTTGGCAGAAATGCCTTAGGGGAAAATTTAATTTCTGGACGGGCTAGCAATCCTGGTTTATGAATTTAAACTGGGTTTCTGCTGCACTTTTACTAAGGTTACAGTGGTACAGTGCTTGCAGTTCTGAAGGGATTTGTAGCCCTTGCCTCCACACACATTTTTAGAAAATCACTTGGATTTTCTTTGCTACCTTTTTATCGATTTCTAATCTTAAAGAGTGGTTAGAGAGATTTGAGCTACAACTTCATTTTGAACTGTGAAAGAGAATATGAATTTAGACAATAATGTAACATCGGGTTATTGAAATAAATTTTAAATTGTCCTAATATTACTTGGAAAACTTTATCAACTTTTATTTTCTTACAGAGCTCCAGTCGTCATGGCTTCACTTGATTGGCTGATTGTCGCGGTAGCTAGTTTCACAGTGTTTCAAATTATGTTCCATTATTTAAGTGGGAGAATATCTTTATTTTTCTGCAAGAGTTATCAAACATTGACTGACATTCAGAAGACTGAATGGAACTCCAGGTACTGACTTTATAGGTTATTTGCAGGAAATAATACTGCATATGAATAGATAAGTTCAACCTAAGGCACATTTGCAAACTTATCCGGAGTGAAGAATGTTGTTTCCTAATTATAGTCTCAACATTACGTTTTCTTTTGTTAAATGTCAACCAATGTTTTATTTAAACTTCTGCCTTTCCTGAGAGTCTCCAATGGCACACGATCTCCAGGTAAATGATCCAATGACTTGCTCACTAACTGTGCTAGTGCATCTATCTTCTTTCCAGTTGCAGGTCCCTGAATATGGCAGTGGGCGGGTGACTGTTTTGTTTGAGTTGCTTCCCTGCTCATGACCTAATGACTAGCATCAGAACTCCTTGATCATAACAAAAACAGAAGTTGCTGGAAGCTCAGCAGGTCTGGCAGCACCTGTGAAGAAAAAAATCAGAATTAATGTTTTGGGTTCAGTGACCCTTCCTCAGAACTATTCTTGATCATAACTTTATTTTGTTGGTCTTTCAAAAGTGGAAAACTGTTGGGATGGGACAGAATTTTGAGGACTGATGTCTCCCTCAAGACTTTATTTAGTACATTACTTTAAAGGTATAATAAAGAATATGTAATAAACTGCAATCATAGAGGTGGAGTTGCATAATAGTACAGTCAGGCATACTCTTAAAACCAAGCTTAGATCACTGACTATATATTAATACATAATGTTTCATTAGACCTTTTTTGTGCTTTAAAATGAACAGAATGGGTACAGAATAAAAATCAAACAAGTTTGTTTTGCTTTGAACATTTTGAATTTTGCTATGTTGTCTATTCCGGCAAGACTGTGTTTATCATTCCATTCCTGGCTGTGATAATCGTGATTCCAGCTGAATAACTTCCTCGTCTGTTTCAGAGGGCACCTAGAATTAACCATATACTGAGGAGTGGAATCACATGTAGGTTAAATTGTGTAGGATTGTTAGATTCCCATCCCTGAAGGGGACAGAAAATTAGCTACCTTCTCCAAAAAAGTCTGACCACTGTCTTTTTTTCTTAAGTGCTAATACACTAGTGATCAGATTCAATTAATTTGGTTTTACTTGTTATGATGTAGTTTCATAGAAGAAAAAGAATCCCTACAGTGTGGAAGCAGGCCATTCAGCCCATCGTGTCTGCACCGACCCTCCGAAGAGCATCCCACCCAGACCCAGCACCTGACTATATTTCATAACCCCACATCTACCCTGGCTAATCCGCCTCGCCTGCACAACCCTGGACACTGGGCAATTTAGCACGGCCATTTACCTAACTTGCACACCTTTTGGACTGTGGGAAGAAACTGGAGCACCCGGAGGAGACCCACGCCGACACAGGAGAATGTACAACCCCCACCAGACAGTCGACCGAAGGTGGAACTAAACTGGGGTCCCTGGTGCTATGAGACAGCAGTTCTAACCACTAAGCCACTGTGCTGCCTGCCTGTTTCAGTTCATAACCTTTCAGTTGCCTATTCAAGAGCATAAATACTGCAGTACTATACCCATTTTTAATGACTGACTGATTACCTTTCTAAAAAGAGAATGAGATTTACTGAATAATCTGGAGGGGAAAAGTGCAAGGAACTCTGGTTTATTTGGTAGAGACATGCATCATAAACAAAAGAAAACAGAATGATTTAACAGGCACTGGTTTTCTAATTGGATATTCATTGTTTTATAAATAGGGGTAGATTTTAGGGAATGCTGTTCATCTTAAATCACATCTATGATTTATGTTCTGACATTCATGCGCAGATAGTCGATTGAAGAATGTGCTGGATTGTGGTGTGGAATGTATTCTGTTTAATGTTCAGAGTTATTCACAGATTACCATAGAAGGGCTACAACAATCACCATTAAGGAATTTTTAGATTTTCTAACTTTTGACTTCAAAAGTAGGCTTCTGTTGTTTGAATTTCTGAGCTGCTCACCTGTAGGTGATTCTGTCTTCACAGTACAACATCAGAGATTGCTCATGTTCTGCATTTGCCAATATTTCCATTTTTTTGAATGCAAAATGGTTCCAGTACCAGTGGATTTGGTTTGGCTCATAAAATAATACAAATGAATGACTTTGTAAATTGAATTTTTGCTTGGAAGTTTGTGTAAAGCTTAGAATTGGAAATATTTCCAAAATGGTGTACATGAAATAGGTTTTGAATTAAATTTTGTATGTCACTGCAATTGAGAGGAAAGTTTGAGCAGGTTCTTTTACATTGATGTATAAATGAGGTAAGAGTAGGTCAGATGGGGATATTTATAACAAGTGAGTCCAGAGCAAGGAGACAAAAATACTAAATAACAATTAACACATCAAATGATGAATTTAGCAGGAATATCTTCGTGTAGAGCATGGTGTAATGTGGAACAAATTGCTAAATTCTGGTTGAAATAGACGGAATTCACACAATAAGATGGAGGTTTAATAAATGAGGGAGAAGTGAGTAAAGGGCTAAAAGGGGACATTCATTTAAAAAAAAAGGTTAGTGTAGGAGAAGGATAGATGGGCAGTTCACCGGTTAGCACTACTGCCTCATAGTGTCAGGGACCCAGGTTCGATTCCACCCCCTCGGGTGACTGTCAGTGTGGAGTTTGCACGTTCTCCCAGTGTCTGTGTGGGTTTCCGTTGGGTGCTCTGGTTTTCTCCTCCAGTTTAAAAATGTGGTTAGGTGGTTCGGCCATGCTAAATTGTCCATAGTATCTGTAGGTGGATTAGCCTTGGGAAATATGGGGTTACAGGGATAGGATAGTGGTCTGGGTCTGGTGGAAGCGCTTTGGACTGTCAGCATAAACTAAATGGGCTGAATAGCCTCCTTCTGCACTGTAGGGATTCTATTATTCTATGGTTTTACGCGAACATAAATATCAGTGTGAACGGAGTCTCCTGTTTTCCATGATATGCACTGATTCTGTTTAACTTGGTTTTAAAGAAAATGCTTTAATTACAGAATGAAAGGGAACGATTCTTCCCTGGGCTATTTTTTATTGAAATTATGGCTGGATTTGTGGTAAAGGTACATGTGATTTCATTGTAAATGATAGATAAAATGTTCTCTGTTAAGCTGACAGGCTGTAGAGAGTACATTGATCATGCCCAATCTGTTTTTCCATTTTTCAGGGTGGTGTCAACATTTCATGCACTAATAGTTGGGCTGTTGTGTCTATATTTGCTGTGGTTTGATGATGCGGTTAATGCCAATCCTATCTGGTAAGATACCTATTTAAGATAGATTGAGTTTCTGGATTTCTGGTGTGGAAGTGTGTTGCAAAATGAAGCATCTTTAAAAGAAATACTGAGAACTTGCTGCATTTTTCTTTGTCCCTAAATTTACCAGCTTCTTGCCCCCTGCTACAATGATGCTGCTGGTACAATCCCCCTGGAGGCTGAATACTTCTTTTAAAAGCAGTGCATCTCCCAGTGAACAAAAAAGAGATTTCAAGTTCTAATACCTCTCCTATAACACACAAGTTATAGATCAAACGTTACTTAACAGCTTAATAATGCACTAACCTAAAAAAAATGCTTCCACATTAATGACTGTGTTTCTTTGATTATTTTGGCCATGTCAAAACTTCCAAGCTCTCTGGAATTATTTCACTCCGCTTGAGACTTCCAGATCTGCCTTTCACCTGCAAAGCCCACCTCAGCAATTCCTTGTTCCTTAAGTCTCAAAGTCCTATTGATTCTGTTTCCTTCATTTTGGCCAAGCCATGAAACCACACCTAGAATCCTGCTTGGTTGCAAACATGAAAACAGTCTTTCTTTGCTCCTCAGCAGCTGATTTGCTTCTCACAAAGCATTTATCCGTTTTGTCTCTTTTTTTTTGTTGTTTTAAAAATAAAAGCTGCCTCAGGAGTGAATAGTGTCACTTGGTATTTCAATAGAGTCCTGTTTACCAGATCACACGGGTGTTGTGATCTGGATGCTTCTGGAATTTTCTATTTTGCCTAATATTAAGGCATATTTTGGAGCAAAACCACCTTGTCAAGTCCAGCATTCATAATACAATATGCTAATTTAGTTTAAACTAATCTCTTAAAGTGTCGTACTGATATATATGTGAAATCAGAAAGGCAAATGGAACATTGGCCTTTACAATTATAATATAATTATAAAGGAGAGAAAGCTTTGCCAAGAGCTAATAATAGAGTAGAGCTGGAGTATTACGAGTTCTGGTCACTGTTCTTTAGGACATATTGCCATTGGAAGGAATAGAGTACAGATTGTATCAGGAGTCCAGGATGTTACCATGCTTTTAATAGTTGACTTATAAAAACATGTCAAATGAATCTGGGTGGTGTTTCCTGAATTGTGCAAGTTTAATTTACTGTTTTGGATGTGGAGTGAGGGTTTGACATTTTGAAAAGAACTGATGGGATTGATGAAGAGAGATGTTTTCTGCTGGTGAGTGGATCTAGGACAAGGGGACATGACAAAATCAGAGTTGGATTATTTCAGAGCAATGTTATGGAGCCCTTTAACAAGCAAAAGATGGTAATTTGATGAATTGTAACTAATCAGATTTTTGTTAATCAAACCCATTAGGAGATATGAAGCCGAGGTAGAGTTACTATCAAGATTCAGCCATGATTTTGTTGATTCGTGGTACGACTTTTGAGGGCTTGAGTAGCCCACATCTATTGTATTGAAAAAATAATGAATATTGTAACTTTAGTTCCCGGTATTCTTCAGTTGATGTGTATGAGTAGTTCTGCTTTTATTTAAAATGTCAATACTTAACAAAATCACAAACAAACTAGAAGTTATCAACATTCAGCAATGAGGCTAAATTGGCAAATAAGTATGAGGAGGGAGAGCTAATTTTCAGTTTAAAAAGTCATTGACTTTTTAATTTAATCTGTGTTTTCCTTTTAAGGATAGAACTTGATCTAAACTTTCAAGGGGTCCAAACGCAAGACAGCCACAAATAATTTAACTAATTCCTGCTTCATGCTAGTTTAGCTGACAAAAAAGATTGCAACGTAAAACATTTAAAAACTTCTTCATCTTTCTATATGAATGACAAATGTCAAATTGCCTTTTTTTTAAGAAAGTACATTTAATTTTGAATATGCAATATGTTGAACAATCACAAAATTATTGCCAAGTCTCAAATAGAATATCAAATAATTAGTTTGGAGATTAAAATGCTGCTTAAGGGTGGAGAAAACTGGGGTAAAACCCTTTTATATTAATAAAAACCAAAAGAACTGCGGATGCTGTAAATCAGGAACAAAAACAAAGTTGCTGGAAAAGCTCAGCAGGTCTGGCAGCATC